CATTTTCTTTCTAAGTATTGATGTTATTTCAGTTTGAGTCAGAGCCAAGGCCATGTCTCTTATGATCTCTGTGCATTTTGTAATATGTGATATCCTGGACTAGCCTATAACAGCCTCTATGCTGGTATAAGTAAATAACTAATAAATTATATTATGTGTTTGTTCTGTAATGTTAAACTCTATGAAAGTTTTTAAAAAGATTCTGTATTCTGGTCCAAGGTCCTGATCATGAAGAGCAGGCCCCAGTGAGGAGCTGGTCGACTGCTACCTACACCATGTATTTCTAAACACACCTGTGCCAAGACTTGTTGAGTTTTCCTTTCGCAGCCCTTCAGGGCAAGAACATCACGTAACACTTTCTCTTTTTATTTTTATAGCTCTTTAAGTTCAAAAACATCATGTAACACTGATCTTTTCTCTACATAACTTTTCAAGTGCAGTAACAGAAATGCAGCACTGTTACTTCATATAAATTTAGATACAATTCTACTCACTGTGTGTCCTACAGTTGGGTACATTATCCATCCTATCATATCTGTACATATTCATATGTACATCCATCTGTGTATGTGTTGTGTACAAACTGCATATGCTGTATCTCCTATTTTATCCCATATTCATAATGTTTATGCTGCTCATCCTGTGTATATACTGCATATATCTCAAAGTGTTTACACTGTTCACACTGCTTGTACTCTTCATACTGTCTATAATTTTTTATTATCTTTAATTTAACAAAACAGGGAAAACATGAAAAAAATAAATAAAAATGTGTACCATTTTTCAATTTTACACACACACAGTTGTTCAAATATTATTTGTGGCAGATTTGAATACATTAAAAGTATTAGCATAATTTTATAGCCAAACAAAAGAATTATCATTTTTAATATTCTGACTTTTAATGTGGACATTGTTTACAATTTTGGCCATTTTTTAATTTTAATTTTTAGAATCATCATGCACATGAACACTTTTTTTCTGTGATTTTACTAGTAATTGTCTACAATTTAAGAAAATGGGGAAAATCTGTAAAATAACTGAAAATAACTGTTAATTGGTGTATAATTCTCCAATCTTTAAAATACAGTGTACAAAATCTTTTTTTCTTTTCATTTCTATCCTTTTATTTCTTTTGTCTTGCTTCTCAATATGTTCCATCAGTAACGAGCTGCTGTAACATGAGAATTTCCCCGGTGAGGGATCGATAAAGTTGATTTTATCTTATCATCTTGCCACAGTTCTTCTTTCTTCTCCACATCTGTCCGCATCGCTCTACAAGGCGGGGCGGGGCTAACCTCCTCCCGGGCCTGTGATTGGTTGTCTTGCACATGCGCAGTGCAGAGCGGAGGTACCAGTAGAGCCGCAGCCCGGAAGTGACAGAAGAATCGTCTGGCAGGACCCGCGTCCATGTGTGTGCTGTCACAAGGGTGAACGGTCCGCGGAAAACCACCCCGACAACGCGTTTTTGTTTCCTCCAGCTGAAGGCCGCGGTAGACTACCTGAGTTTTAGCGGCAGGGAGCGACGCGGACATGGCGACATCCAGCCCGTGTGTTGTGGTGAGTTCACCCCGAATGAAGTCAGAGACTCGGGGTCGGAGAGTACCTCTGCGTGCCCGTCGGAACAACGCGCTGTGCATGGGCGCACTGTGCTAGCGAACGATACGCTGTAGGCCGTGATTTACCTGCCTGTGTGTCACTCACCTTGGTTGGACGTTAGTGCGAAGATAAACGTGTGTTTTATCACAGCGCGTGGCCTGCGGTTATGAAGACAGACACGCGCTCTGTACGCGCGGCGTAAGTGACGCAGGAGATGTTTTTTTTTCTTTTCTGTTTTTTTTTTTTTGGATGGAGTCCGAAAAATGTAACGAGTTTCTGCGTGTGTCAGCAGCACACAGCTTGTTTTAAAATAATTACACAAGTATATTGCGCACAGTCACAGC